TTCTCCGTCTATATTGGAAATGTTTTATTACTTTTTAGCAGCTATAGATGAAGTTGTTTCATTTTGGGAGTAACAGATTACATTACAGAACAGCATTGTATTTGTATAAAAAATTACATAAAGTAATCGAGTTACGTTACTTTAAAGTGTGACTTTATCACATACGTCTCCTATACTGTCGTATCTGAACCAACAGTGACAAAAAAAAAAGTCATTTTCAAATATTTGATATAGAGTTTCTTGAAAAACAATAAAAAGTTGTCAATGACTCATCCTGCACTCGGGGGCATATAGATGTACAGACCTCTCTGGCCTCACTGATTACTGTACAGAAGCTCAGCTTTATAACTGTATTTAGTGATTTTGGTGAAACTGGATCAGATTTTATGAAGAAAATATTTCCTGGTTTTCCTGTCAGAAAACAAACATTCTGCCGTCTAAATCTCACGCTGTCTGTCAGGTAAACAAGACATAGAAACGTCTCTTGAGTCTGAACGGAGAATGAAGCTGCCGCCTCTGTGAGCAGAATCCGACCTTCCTGCGAGGTCATCTGTCTCTGGATGGAGTTTAACCCTTTACTCTTCAAACACGAGGACGGAGCTCACACACGGCGCCGACTGCCCGTCAGCTGCTCACCTGGAACCCGAACCCGCAGCCTGATGACATTTCCCGCGGCAGTATTGAAGTTTGGATGGGGGCAGATATCTGGGGCTGGACTGATGGCTTATTTCATTTCAGAGAGGTTGACTTTGTAAATGTTACTGAGCTGAAATCTCATCCAGTGCAGGGTTCATCTACAAAGTGCCTTTCCCACCAATTGAAGGTGGGCGGGAAAGAGATCCTGCCAAGCGGCGCTGACTCCGGCTAGAAGCCTTCGATCTGCCTTTTTTCTGACCTTTTTTTTTCTTTTATTAGCTGCAGTTTTATTGTTAAGGATGGTGGGAAACAGGCTCTCTGGAGCTGAACGACCAACTGAATTTGTAGGAAGCTTTTAATATAAATAACCTAAATTACATTTTCACCTTTTCTTCTTTTGTTCAAAGCTGAAAGCTTCGGTTGCTTTTTGGAAGCAGCGGAAGGTCAAAGTGTGACAATGGGTGCGTTGATCAAAGTGAGAGACACAGGTGGTAAACTGTGAGCGTTGTCTGTAATGAGGATCTGTGGGGTGATGGGGTGAAACAGTGGAGGAGAAACACTAATAGGGACATCGCAGAAGGGGGGAGGAAGAGAGTAAAGGCGGAGAGACAAAGATGGGGGATTAAACCATCGATCTTCTCATCCTCAAAGATCAAATCAAAGACCAGCTGTAGGAAGAGTTTTAATGAGCTTCTGCCAGTGCTGGAATGTAACTAAATAAGGTTACAGATACATATATGGGATATAACATAAATATATAAGCTAACAGTTATTCTCTATATAAAGACACAGAGTCACATGGTGTCTCTCTCCCTCTGCCTGTGTTGTAATAGCAGCCTCTCTGTGGTTTGTTCCATAAGCCGGTCTGCTCCGACTGGAACTGCTGTTTTTTATCAATCTACGTTCGGTGAATTCAGGATTTAAAATTCCAACCAACCAGAAAAGTTTGGTGATTTTGTTTGGAAACTAACAGAGAACGGTTTAAAATGAGTTGATTCTGTTTTCTGTCCTAACTTTAAAATGAAGTTAATGATGATCTGAAAAGGTAAAATTAGTGTTTTTGTCTCTGAAGTCTGGTGGGAGAGTGATAGTGATATTACAGCTTGTTTTGTGGTTTTAAACTAAAGGTCTATCCATTGTAGGGGAATTCCTCTTCATAATGCTGTTCAAGACACTGAACAATAACAACCTGAGTCCTTGTCAGAGCCAGAAAAC